AAAGCCATTGGACATAATTTGTATGTGCTGTATGTGGTATGATTGTAGCCGTACCTGGGCCTATGGTTGTTTTCGGAGGAATAAACAAAAAAATCAATGATATAAATACCTAACTTCAAGAGATTCACATTCCGGAAAAGGATATTTGCCCGATGGTACCTATATTGTGTCAGTGTCAACTACGGGTGTGTGTGTGTGTGCGCGTGTATGTGTGTCAACAACAACTTCCGTCATTTTCTTAAGTCAGGACTTACCAAGCCATCCTCATCCTTGATTAGTGATTTGCAACCCCTGTTCTGGTCTGACGGTCACTCCCACCCAGCGATCGGTAAGACCAGCTCCCATGTAGCAGCAATTGTTGACCTCTTCACTTAGAAGGCTTGAGAAGCTGGGTGAGCTGTCGCTTTGGGCGCTTTGGACGTGAGTCAGCCTTGACGGCGCACAATACATGCACAAGTAAAACGCAAGCCGTCCGCCATATTTATAGGATGGACTAGATAGTGATCGTGAATTGCAATAACCTACTTCATTATAATGGGACATTTTATGAAGTTTTTAAAAATGTTCAGATTCGATTTCACATGAAAGCCGTTTTTCTGTCTGTTGAATACGAGCAAGCATAAAAGGATAGTTATGTGCTTCCATGACCTGGCTGGGTCGCCCTGGTGGATCCAGAAAATCTGTCTTGGACGCTGCGGAGGGCATACCCCCAAACAAGTTTCCCCAACTTCAAAAGTAATAATCAGATTTCGATTCCTTATGCACTGCTATGCGGATTAAACCAAATCTTTTCTCATGAAAGTTGTTTGGTTTTCGTTTTGTTTTCGAAAACAGCAACTCTTGGTCGATTTCGGGCTCTGTGGGGGGAGGGGGGATTTCCCCAAATATTCCCCCACCCCCGGATCCGCCAGTGCTGGGTCATCAACAAGTCTTGGGGGTCTTGGGCTAGGTCATCAACATGAGTATTTCGCTTACTCCGTAAATAAAGAAACTACCTTAACCCAGCATACGCGCCCTGCTGGGGGGGGGCAGATTCTGCCCCCCCCCTGTCTAACTTCCGAACCGATGGTCGTAGAAAGACGGGGAAAACGGCGATCGAAAGCTCTCAACAAGGCGGATCTCAAAAGCCCAAATTTTTTTGCTTAAGTAGGTCAGAGGTCAGGTCAAAGGTACAAAATGCAAGTTTCTACAGTATCGGCCTTGCACCGTAGTTGCCGAAGAATGGACTGAGGCTGATTGCCCAAAACGTGTTCTTAGACTACCAAGACAATATTCGTTGCATACAATGTCATTCAAAGGTCAAGGTCAAGGTCAGGTCAGGTCAGGTCAGGTCACCAAAAACAAAATATAGAAAAGGGCATGTGCGACACATGTTTTATGGGTCATTTTACTCATAGAATTCAATAGGCACACTCAATAAGTGATATGGACCACCTCTGGATGAATTTCAGGTCGAGGTCAGGTCAAGGTCAGGTCAAGTGAGGTCAAATTTTGAAGTTGGTTGTTAAGGCCTAAAAAGGTGTCTATCTGATGCAGTTTTTCACGGCGAATCGAATAGTTTTATTTTTATTTCCGTACGAGGTCTAGAACTTCCAAAAAAAATCATTTTTCAAATTTTTTGTGTGTCGTGACGTCATAAAATTTTGAATAACTCCCACATTTTTGAACCGATTCTTCTACAAATTGGTATGTAGGTGCACATAGACCACTTCTCTGACATATATTCCGGTTTTTTCGATACACTCAAAATTTTGGATTTTATATCTATTTTCCCAAAAAAAATCAGTTTTTGAAGAAAAAAATGACCAAAATCCAACATTTTCAAAAAACCGAGATAGCCATTTGATAGACAAAGTAGAATCACGTATAACCTTTTTTTGTGACGTCTTGATTCCTTAAGAAATGAAGATGTTAGCGGCGTTTGAAATTTTGCCGTTTTTGAGGCGAAAATGGCGAACATGACGTCACTAAAACATCAATTTCTCAAACATTTTCCGACGGATTTCACTCAAATTTTCAGGGAACGTGTCAAATTAATGTATGATAGGGTACTTAAAGTTTGACGTCGCTGGCGTAACGCGTTTAGAAGTTATTGGCGAAAAACGGGAGGGGGGCAGACTCTGCCCCCCCCCCCCAGCGGGGCGCGGGTTGATCAGAATCGCACTGAACGTGAACCTGAACGCCACGTTTTGTGATTGGCGCTTTTCTAAGAAAAAGTATATATTTCTCATCTTAGTTGCATTTAACCCGCGCCCTGGTGGAGGGGGGGGGGGCTATTTTTTGCCCCCCTCCAGACTTTTCAATATATCTCCAGAACCGCTGTGCCGATCGTCACCAAACTTTCAGTACCCTCCCGGATATCAATTTTACACATTGTGACCAAAATTTTTTCCAAAGGCTATTATAGGTTGGCCGGAAATGACGTCAGAGTGACGTCATGTTCTGCCGTTTTCGACCCAAAAAAGGGTTTCGCGGGACGAGCTGTCAGGCCTATAGCTTTGCAAATACAGAAAAACGTTAAAACAAGAAAGCTGTAGAATTGACAGGGCTACAAAACTGCTATCTCGGATTTTTGAAATTTTCGGATTTTGACCCCCAAAAATAAAAAATAGATTTTTTGAATATAATAGCCGAAAAATCCAAAAAGTTTTTTGAATTTCGCAAAAACCGGAACATATGTGATAGTCCTTACCGCCTCCTATCCACATACCAAATTTGAGATTGATACCTCTTTTTTGGCGAAATTATAGCGAAAAACTGTTCAAAATTGATGACGTCAAATTTTCAAACTCAATTTTTAGCAATTCTAGACCCCGTAGCGCAAAACAAAGACCACCATTAGACTCCCCGTGACGAGCTGCATCGAATCAATACCTACCCATTTTATGCAAAACTACCAACTTTAAAATATGACCTTTTTTGACCTGACCTTGACCTGACCGTCACCAGAAAATGACCTAGGCCGTACCTGAGTCTTATAACCAACACCATTGAGTTGGAAATGAAAAATTGGCCATAAAACATGCATCGCACAATATTAGTACCTAAAGTTAGGTTCATGTGACCTGACCTGTGACCCTTGGTGACCTGACCTGTGACCTGACCTGGTATTGTCAGTGACCTCTTATAGCGACATATATGTACTAGGCAACTGACGCCCTATCGCTGATTCTCGACAAAATGCGTTTTCTTCGGTGTTATAGCGCATTCCCTAGGAGACCCGTGAAAGGTGAAACATTTCATCTTTGACCTGACCTGTGACGTCATCGGTGACCCCGAGGTCAATGAAATTTGGATCCCTCGACAAATTTGACAGGCCTTTCGAACGCCGTTTGAATTTTCCGGATCCGTCCAGTAGTTTCGGAGATACGAGGGGGGCAAAAAATAACCCCCCCCCCCCACCTTATAAACAGACCACACCACTCACCAGGGCGCGGGTTAAGATAAAAGTCACAGTTCAAAATCAGCCTGCTGTAAACATAAAACGAAATTGGAAGTCATCCGTTATTAATGTGCACTTTAAATCAGACATGTGCATGGATCCGAGTGATGGATCTATGATCTCAGTGGATCTCGAAGCAAAATACAAGTTAGGATCTATGATCCCACCGGATCCGGCGTGAAAAATACAGCTTGGATCTATGATCCCATATGATCTGACGATAAATTAAGAACATGGATCTATGATCTGAGTGGATCCCACCATGCACCACATCTGAAACCATGTTTTAAAGGGTTTTTATGCCAGTAAGTGACACAAACCTATGGATTATGACGTGCGATCACATAAAATCGCTAAAACAGAACGTTTGTGAGTTGAAACAAGTGTTTTTTTATATATGTGTTGACAAAAAATAAGTGAGGATCTATGATCTCACTGGATCTCAAGCAAAAAATGAGACTCGGATCTGTGATCCCTACGGATCTCTCGATAAATTACAGAGCTGGATCTATGATCCCGTCGGATCCGAGATCAGGATCCGTGGGATTAGATCCCAGATCCATTTTCTCGGATCCATGCACATGTCTGCTTTAAGTTGTGTAGGTGTATTTGTATTCTGCTTGCGGAGGGCGTAAACGGTCTTTGACAATGTTGACTTAAAATTCAGCATGCATTTATCCAGGTCTTCTGAGGAGCTTACAAAGGCTGGCATGGATATCTCGCGCCACCCCACTTCCCAGACAGTGGCTTAGGAGTAGGACTGGTAAACTGAAATTATTGATTCCCTCTAGCAAGAATTAACAAACTAGTAGGGAATGTCACCCTGTTTGAAAATCGAGATGTCTATATATGTTGATGTGGTGAGCATATACCCTTACGTCTGTTCGGTAAAGGCCGCCCCACACCGGACCTCGCATGCGGGCTGCGAGTTTTTGGGTTTTCGGGTTTCCTCAAAATAAAATAATGCAAACTAAGCTTAGTGACGCACACTACCATCAAACAAGCGAGTCTGCATGTTTTTAGCTTGCAAGCCACCTTGCATCGCATTTCAAAAGTTAATTTTGAGTCAACTTTCGATTTTCCTCGCTGCGAGGTCTGCGAGCTCTGCGAGGTTTGCGGGTTTTTCGTTGAAGTCGAATTTAGGTTCGTTGCGCTGGTTTTGCGACTATATGTAATTTTCTGAAGGTGTACCGGCTTCACTGCATTCATGAAGTTACCATAAGGGAACGGTCTAATCACTCTATGAATTAGTATTATGCCCGCAAACTCAAAACCCGCAAACCCGCAACCCGCATGCGAGGTCCGGTGTGGGGCGGCCATTACTCTGTCTCAGTTGGCCGGATAATCATAGCCCGATGATCGGCTCGCCGCCTCCCTAAGTACATACACCCGGTGAAATGCAAAGCAAACACTTTAGTTTCCTCCTTTGGCGATATAATCTAATGTGCCTTGTTTATGTCGTTCACCAGGTATTATACGTGCGTGGCCGTGCAACAGTATTGATTTACATGCGTATCTACATCGTTCGTAAACAGACGGTTATCCAGAAACACTGCTCCTTCGTCGAATATCAATATATTACATTACAATACACTCCAGCTCCCGATTTACGATACATCAGAGGTCAGCAGGGCGCGGAAAGCACGAGGGCGTGAGTCAGCTCGCTGGCAGCCTTCATTTGGCGGCGCGGGACAGCGGCGGCGACTTGCTGGCGTCCCGGCGTTCCGTTTTCACCTTCTTCATAGTTCCGGGGTCGAGGCAGTGGGGCATGACTCCTGCCGAGCACAGGGACGCCCGTCACAGGGAAGAAAACCTTGGAGCCGGGAGGTGACACGTCTGTCGTCCGAGGGGAGGGGGGAGGGGGCGTGCCCGGCGGCTGGAAGTTGAGCGTGACACGGCCTCAGAAAGTGGGCTTCACATTTTGTTTGAGTCATACCGAACGCCCTAGCCAATGTTTGTCCGGTAGCGTGGCAATGGCGTGCGTTGGTGTCGTAGTTGCGAATTATCGTCTGTACGGTCGCGTATCCGCAAACGCTTTCATGAACAAAGTCGTTTGAAGCAGGAACAAATGGTTTCATATTGCACGGCGCGCGGCGGTTATCGTGAGGCCGGTCTGCATCGGCGCAAGCCGTTCGCGCTATGCAGTAATGTGAACGGAGTTTTGCATTCCTTTACAGTCACGATTCCTGACGCAATGCAGTTCAATTAACGAGTCGGTGACCCGCGGACCACCAGGCCGATTACCCACTGCCCCCAGTCCCTCGAGCAACTGCATGGAATAGCTGGCGAGTGATGGGCTCCGCCCTTCAGCAGCATTTAACAATGCAAATCAAGGTTACTGGGGAGCAAAAGTGCACTCAGTTATAAACTCGGACTATAGCCAACACTTCACCGGGAGAACTATCAATCCGTGCCGCTTTCAGCAATGTTAATTGCATGATAAATATCACGTGAATAGTGCACGAAGGCCAGAGCTGCACTCAGTGGCCTCGCCTTGAACACCATTGAAGTACAGGTCAATGGAAATACTATTTAGCGCTTTTAAACTGCATAACAATGCTTCGAAATGCCAGCAGGCATGACAAATGGGACTATTGTTTCGATGGTATTCGCCTGATTGGCCATGAAATGCTTGACTGACTCTCCTTGACCCTGCATATGAGGAAACGCATGGACTCCGTGTTTGAGGTATAACGTCTTGCTAAAGCCGCGCTCACCAACCGCGCTGGCCGCTGAGACGTGTGCCACTAACCCGACATTGGGACACGGTACGTGCGCAACCCTGACGTCACAACCACCACTGTCTCACAAGCCCGACCCGACATCGGGGCTCTGCTGTTCCATAAAACTTACATTGTGGTATTGCTTTCTATTCGAAAATGCATTGTTGGCGTTTTTTCTGCAGACAACATCGCTCACCAGACGACTACATAAATACACTCACCGGACCAACGGATATTCAAACTAGACAGCTCATGGGACCACTGACCGACCACGGGTCACTGACAGACCACGGACTGGCCACGGATCACTAACAGACCACGGATCACTCACGGACCACTGAGAGGCTACGGACAGACCACCGACCACGGAGCACGGACCACAGACCAGTCACGGACCACTGACAGACCACGGACCGCGCCCATTGGATCACTGACCGACCACGGGTCACTAACAGACCAAGGACCACGAACAGACAACGGACCACTCACCGACCACGTTGTTGTCTCCTCCGGCCGGTATGAAGAAGCTCTGGACGCCGCACGTGCTGCAGAAGCTGTGCCGCGCGGTGCCGGCGCCGAATGTACTCAGGTGACCGTGACCCTGCACCAGCCGAAACTGATCGGCCGGCACGGGGAAGTAGCGAGCCTGCCGCTTGGAGCACGACTCGCAGCTGCCGACAGGGCGGGGGAGGGAGGTCAGAGGGGGGGGGGGGGCGCTGCAGAGCCGAGGGAAGGGAACGACATACGCAGCATTGGTAGCCGAGCTGGATTTGTTGAACTTCGAAGGGAAATCTTTGGCGAATGGTGACACATGTGCAGTACAAGCTCAATTTGCTTGTCTACTATGAAATAAAAAAGCTGTACTGGAGAATATATTTTGTAGAATATCCTAAAATTTATGTGGAAGAACTGATCTCGCACAAAGCACGCCTATTCTGCAGGTTTTTACCCTCATGGATGAGAGGCTGTGGGCCTACGGTCAATTAGGACAAGAAAGCTATACATACGAGGGCTAACAAATGACTTTTCCGCAATAATGTTGCAGGATGTTTCATTATGAACAATCAAGTCCACGAGTTATGAGTTTATTTTCGGCTAAATGACTGTGACTGGTGACCTCACCTACACTCGACGGCAGTGACCTGGGCCGGCGCGATGACCTCGTACCGCACCTGGCCGCAATGGCAGCCTCCTTTGTGCCTCCTCTTACCCTCCGCATCCATCAACTATAGGTCAAAGCATACATATTGCATGGGCGTCAAATGACACGTAACAACAGTCTATCGCTTATTATCCTCAGTGGCATTTGGTCCTTTCGTATAACAGAAGTATAAAACTCAGCATGCAATTGCACACTGCACCGATAGTAGTGAATGGTCTTGCATGTAATGAGTCATTCTATGCCTTTGTGCATGGTCTTTACACACAGTAGCTCAACACATGCGACGGTACTTGTCTCGCATTTAACTTGAGTAATTCGATGATTTAGGGGTACGTTTCGCCATTGTGTATAAAAGCAATATCCATAAAAGAGACGAGACATTCAATTAGCAAGATTTTAGCACTGCCTTTTATGGCAGCCATAAAAATACCTACGTCCTACATGTTTGAAAAACTTTGCTCTAATAATGAATCCTTTTTAAATCGGTACTTGACATATCGTCATAGCTGCAATGCTGCAGAAATTATTTGCACAATTCACAGACCACTGTGAATTGTGCAGTGTACACAGTGTCACAGTCCCACGTTCAGTCGGCCAACGCACCTACGCTAATCAGAAACAGTCTCTATGTTTCTCATATGCATATGCACAAGCGCATTGAGCACTGGAACGATTTCTGAGAAATGTTGGAGTAGCGTGACGTCCAGCATTCGACGCCATTGCGAAGCTACACGAGGGAGTCATGCAACGGTCCTGACGTGTGTGTGTGTGTGTGTGTGTGCAGGTTGGACATTGTCACACACAGGCTTAACCTTTATGATTCCGGCAGGGCCTATTTTAACATGTTAACTGGGGGGGCAAATGCCCCCGCACTCAACAGAATTGCCCCCCTAGTCGTCGAGATTTGCCCACTATAAAAATAGGCATAAAGGCACAGGGTAACAAACATACTACGTAACTACTGTGACTTGTTTTGCAATGGATGTCAAATGAGTCAGTCTGTAAGTAATGACCAGTGGTGTATCTAAGGGTGGGTCATATGGGTCATGACCCCCCACCCTCTTGGGGCCCGGGGACACCACAGGCCTGCCAGGGGCACCACCGGCCTGTCAGGGGCACCACAGGCCTGTTGGGAGCACCACAGACCTGCCAGGGGCCCCACCGGCCTCGCAGGGGCACCACCTTGGGCCTGTCAGGGGTACCACCACAGGCCCGCCAGGGGCACCATAGGCCTGCCAGAGGCACCATAGGCCTAGCAAGGGCGCCACGGACCTGTCAGGGGCACCAGAGGCCTAGTATGGACACCACATGCCGGGCAGGGACACCACCGGCCTCGCAGGGACTGGGACACCTTGGGCCTGTTAGTGGCACCACGTGCCTGTCGGGGACACTCCAGGCTTGTCAGGAGCACCACAGTCCTGTCAGGGCCCAGGGGCACCACCGGCCTCACGTGGACACCACCGGCCTCGCAAAGGCATCATGGGCCTGTCAGGGGCACCACGGGCCTGTCGTTGGAACTTCAGGCTTGTCAGGGGCACCACAGTTCTTCCAGATGCACCGGCGGCCTAGCAACATGGCACCATTTTTGGCCGAGGTCGCGATTCGGCGTATGTCGCCTCGCATTAGCCGCGCGTTTGCAGTCTTTTCGTGGTTTCAAACGTTCAAACATGGGATATGATGTTGCTCCCATGCATTATGGTGGGTGTCAAGATCACCGGAAGGTCAGGTCAGATCATTTACCTATGATGACCTCGGTTCACATTTTCGAGTTTTATATGTTTCTAGGCTAGTTTTTGGAGCTGAATTCGAATTAAGCAACCATTTGACCATTTACGAAGTAGTTTTGGTGCCTTCGTAACATGTTACGAAGCTGTCAGAGGCGGTTGCCACCTACTACGAATACCCGGCAAAACCCTTACTGGTTGACCTGACCTGACCTGACCTGGCCTAAATGCATGAAGACATCATCTATGATCATAACTAACATAATATTCGTGATCAGCACCCCGAAAAACCATAGCAGCCACTCTTTACGACGCTCTAACAGGTCCCGATTTTCCCGACTTTTGGGTCAATGACCTGACCTGGAAGGTCAACCGATGACCTAGGACCTTAAAATTGGGTATAATCGGCTTCCTTTCATCACGGGCAACACGGTCGTTTTTTCCGCGAAGCTCTAGCTCGATCAGGGGCGAAAGGGCAAGGGGGAGGGTCCAACGGACCCCCCCCCTATACGCTCGCTACTGGAAACACCAATACGGGCGAGGGTTAATGGATTATTAAAGACAATTTTCCAGGTTGCCCCCCCCCCCCAGTCAAATTCCCTTAAAATAGGCTCTGGATTCCGGTAACTGCATTTCATAAAATTATTAAATTTACATACATTGCTTTTTTACTTAAACACACAAGTCGCCAAAGAAATACTTCCTGCAGAATATGGTGGTGTGGTCATGGTTGTGTTGTGATAACACATCAATCATGTTTTCCTATTTGGACTTTGAGTGTTTACGATATAAGGCACAACAGGGCCTAATAGCGGTCCGAGCCAGTCCGCACAGGCCATGGCCGCAGCGACCCTGAGCAAACGCCATAGGGCCACACCCATGCATAATAAGGTCACATGTGTATCGGCGCTGATCACTGCGCCAAGTGGGACCAATATGCGTGGTTCAAAGCGCCTTAGGTACAGACATGTGCATGGATCCGAGTGATGGATCTATGATCTCAGTGGATCTCAAAGCAAACTGCAGATTAGGATCTATGATTCCACTGGACCTGGCGTAAATTTCCTGGATCTATGATCTCCTAGGATCTAACGATAAACCAAGAACATGGATCTATGACCTGAGTGGATCCCACCTGCACAGCATTTGAATTTTGAAACCAGGTTTCCAAATGTTTCTATGTTAATAAGTGACACAAAACTATGGATTATGACGTGCAATCACGTAAAATATCATTGAGACAGAACGTTTGTGAGTTGCAACAATTTTTTGTATTTCTGTGTTGACAAAAAAAAAAATACGTGAGAATTTATTATCTCACTGGATCTCAAGCAAGGAATTAGACTCGAATATATTATCCCTACGGATCTCTCCATAAAGTAGAGAGCTAGATCTATGATCCCTTCGGATCCGAGATCAGGATCCGTGGGATCAGATCCCAGACCAATTTGCTCGGATCCATGCACATGTCTGCCTTGGTATATGTGTTCACTGCTCAAGCTATAGCCACCTCATCAGACTGGTGTTCGATTCACCCGTGATTGAATCGATTAGATGGAATCAAACAAAATTTCTTGAATTAAAAACGTTTGATTCACAGTCAGGATTGTTCGATTCACAAGCAATGATTGAATCGAATCCCTTTTATTCAATCAACCCCAGGGTTGATTGAATAAAAAAAATAACGATTCATGAACTTAGAAAAATAAAATAAAACATAGTGAACATAAGACGTTTTCACGACGGGCTATCCGGCGAGTGCACCCGAATTAACCAAATCTAAACCTAATCTTTTTACAGCAAACATCTTTATTTTATGAATTTATTTCAGTGTTTTAACCCTCGCCGGACCTATTGGTTTTCTACATACGCGCCGGCCGAGGGGGGGGGGGGCGGGTACGACCCCCCTCGCCGTTTCGCCCCTGGTGGAGCTAGCGCGTCGCAGAAAAAACGAGCGTGTGCGCCGTTACGAGACGCAGAGATTGGTACCCGATTTTAAGGTCCTAGGTCAACCGGTGACCTCTGAGGTCAGGTCAAGTGCCCCAAGGTACGGTTCAGTTTTTGGTGAATAACTTCGCAACAAACGGCCGCAGAGCGCCGATTTTGGCAGCATCGTGTTCGCCTCGCCCAGGCGCGTCGAATGATATACTTTTTGTCCGGGTCAGGTCAACTTTGGGTGTTGACCTCAGGTCAAGGTCAGGTCAGCACCCCCAGGTCACGAAGCTGGTCGAAAGAGGTCAAGTCGCATATCATTCGATTCGGCAGGCCTTCCTGAGTCCAACGGTGGCTTTCCCGACTCGCTAGCTCAATTTGATCAAGAGTTATTGACGAAAAACTAATATGACCTTGATGACGTCATAAATGACGTCACGCAAGGTCAACATTGCAAAAGTGGCACATTTAACCTTGCAAGGAGTGCATCAAATCACGATTCTGTGTGCTCGAGATAGTTGGAGATCGTTCCCGGCGCCAAAATAGCAGTTTTCATTTTTCCCCATTGACTTATAATGGTGAGGTCACGAAAATGACCTGACCTCATATGACCTTTAGGAAAAATCCGAGATATACAAGTTGTGGGACTCATAATGGATACTAGATCCTGCAAGTTTCATTTCCCTGTGACATCTCCTCTGGCAGTGAGGGCGTTGCGAAGTTGCGACATCTGAAGACCGTGCAGAGGTTCACTTATGACGTCATAGGTCAGTGACCTGACCTGACCCAAAAATGCGGTTGGTGTCAAAAGATCCGGCTTGGATCAAAGGTGAGGTATGTCAAGTTTCAGCTCTCTATTGCCAGCGTGTTCGGAGCTATCGCGAAAAAACCCTATGGGGGGGGGCGGCACCCGCCCCCCCCCCCCCCTCGGCCGGCGAGGGTTAATCGATGATACTCTCTGATAATATGACAAAGCAGGCATATAAGCAAATAGTGCAACCCTAGCTGATAGCTACTAAGAGACATACTGAACCTGATTTAACCAAATCTGCACCTGATCTGCACCAGATGTGCACCAAATGTGTACCAGATGGCCATCGTGAAAATGGCTATAGTTCACTATCAACAATACACCTATGCAATGCAACAATTCAGATGTAAAAATGCATTTCAGATGTAAAAATGCATTGTGTAAAAATAATGGCCAAAATATTGGTTAATGGTTAAAGTTTTTTAATGAAATTGAAAAAAGAATCACTCAAGAACTTTTTGGCCGAATCAAACGTGAATCGTTCCTTTTTTTTTGTTTTTGATTCTCTGGATCGTAAGGAATCGATTCACCAAATTGTTAATATAAATAACATATTTTTAAAAATATACTTGTTACTTTGTTGTTGGTTGTCTCCGCTACCTCTCATATCAAAAAACTAACTATAAGGATGATTGACCGTGACACGTTAATACAAGTGTCGCGAGACTCGTCGGAAACATCGCTGATTCGTCCGGTAAGCCATTCCATAGTTTCACTCAGTTTGGGCAACAGCGCGTCTATATTTAAGTAAAAGTGCAGGCGGCAGGTATCGTAGCTTTTATGATATTAATGCAAAGGTCATGTTTAAGTAAAAACTATCAATACTTAGGCATGATCACACTTCGGGTAATGCCCGCCGCCATATAAGTCACATTAACCCTCGCCGGCACAGAACATTTTGCGTCGGCGACGGCACAAGGGGGGGGGGGCTAGTACAACCCCCCCTCGCGTTTGGCCCCTGATCGAGCTAGAGCTTCGCGGAAAAACGAGCATGTTGCCCGTCACGAGAGGAAGCCGATGATATCCAATTTTAACCCTATTAGTGGCAGGCTCCTGGCTACCCCTATTAGTGGCAGGGGGCGGGGGGGCTGTTTACGGCCCCCCCCTTGATATCTCGAGATCTAACGGGCCGATTTTCAAAATTCAAACGGTATTCGATTTCGCTCAACGAGATCTACATTTCTAAAAAAAAAATGTCAATAGGGGGTAGAGGGGGGTAAAAACGGGCAAATTGCAGATACATTTTAGACTGTTTATCACGGCCAGGTTTCTGAACCAATCTTAACGCAACTTTTGCCGATCGATAGAGAATGAACCAGGAATTCACATGGATCCTAAAAATATGCATTTTCAAAAATCATAGGCGGATACAGATCATTGAGATTGGGGGTACACAAAAAGTATAGTAAATAAGGTTTATGTTGGTACTGTTTCTAAAAAGGGTGGCAATGGTCTTGTTATGTTACAATTTTCTTATGAGAGAACGACTAAAATTGTATTGGTCATGCATAGGCGGTGTCAGGGCACCTATGTTGGGAGGTAAAAAAATAACCCCCCTTTTTGGACGTCTGGATCCGCCTATTATAGCAAAAACGTGTCAAAAGAGGATGCACAATAACTTTGTATATGTTATCACATGCCTTTCATTCACTGTTCGTAAAACTGGTGCAGCATCGTGATCTTCGCCCAAATGACTCGCTTCACGAATAGGACCCCCCAATTCCCAGTGCTCTGGAGCCGCCCCTGGTAAAGTTATGAACTTGAAATTTTCAGGGAATGTGTCCAATTTAGTTTTAGGAAAAGTCAGAAAATTTCAGCATCGTAGCTTCAGCGGTTTCGGAGATATTCCCGAAAAACCTGAGGGGTGGATAAAAACTTTACTACATGAGTAGTAAAGTAATCTTGGATAAAAACAACCCCCCTGCCACTAATAGGGTTAAGGTCCTAGGTCATCGGGTGACCTTCCAGGTCAGGTCAATGACCCGAAAATCGGGAAAGTCGGGACCTGTTAGAAAGTCGCAAAGCGTGGCTGCTAAGGGGTTTTCCGGGGTGCTGATCACGAATATCGTGTTAGTTTTGATCAGAGATGATGTCTTTAAGCATTTAGACCAGGTCGAGTCAGGTCAGGTCAGGTCAACCGGTAGGGGTCGTGACGGGTATTCGTAATACCTGTCATCCGCCTCTGACAGCTTCGTAACATGTTACGAAGGCACCAAAACTACTTCGTAAATGTTCAAATGGTTGCCAAATTCGAATTCAGCTAAAAAACTAGCCTAGAAACATGTAAAACTCGAAAAAGTGAACCGAGGTCACCAAAGGTCAATGACCTGACCTGACCTTCAGGTGACCTTGGCATTCACCCTAATGCATGGGAGCAACATCAAATCACATGTTTGAGCGTTTGAAACCACGAAAAGCTTGCAAACGCGCGGGTAATGCGAGCCGACATACGCCGAATCGCGATTCCGGCCAAACATGGTCTCGAAAAGTAGGTCACAGGTCAAAGGTCATTAGGGTCAGGGTCATGAACATTTCAGGGTAGGTGTAAAATTGAATAACGCGAGGGTACTGAAAGTTTCGTCGCGATCGGCCGCTTTTTACGCGAGTTATTCGCGAAAAACCGAGGGGGGGGGGTCCGTTCGACCCCCCCCCCCACCCCTATACGGGGGGCGAGGGTTAATACTCGGCACCGGTAAAATACTCGGTACAGTGTTCAATACATCCTTCATCACACACGATTAAAACTCTCACCTGGAATATGTTGTACTGCATACTGCCGGTGTGATTGCCGACTCTGCTGACTCGGACTGTGCTCGCTGGTGTGAGCCTGACTCTGACTCGGTGGGTGCTGACTCCGACTCTCCGGTCGGCTCCGCACGCGTCCCGTCTGTCGGCTCGTATGATCTCGCCGCAGCCGGAGAGAACCTTCAACCGCTCACCGGAGAAGGTGGCGCCCCTAGCGGTCAGACGGACAACTAGTCGAAGGTGCCGGCTGTTTGCGGTCACGCCGGTTAGTTAGTAGAGGTGGCAAAATGTGGACCCGGGGACCCGGTCCAAAGAACCAGTCTGGACCCATATGGGTCCAGACCGGTTCCTGGAAATTTTCTGACGGGTCCAACCGGGTCCTACCATAAACTATACATCTTGCACACTACATACACATTATTCCAAAATATGAAGTGAATGAAGTGAAAGTTTCTTTGCACACAGTAGCTCATGAGTATTCCCAGTGGGAAACAGGCTGTTTTACAACAACAGGCGACGATTTACAACAAGCCAACGCATAACTTGGCATCAATTTTCTCCCATTGACTTATAATGGGGGGGGGTCACAAAATTGACCTGACCTTAGGTCACCGATATCAAAATTCCGAGATAGTTATTTATTTAAATTATGTACATATTGTTGCCCTTATCAATCGCTGAGAGTTTCAAAGAGGTCGGTCGCTCGATGTAGCATATGGAAGACGTTGAAACTTTGTATGAGGTGAGGTCACTTGATGTGACCTGATGACCTGACCTTAAGTGACCTTGGTCTACAATTTTTACATGTGCAGAAAAGATGCATGATAAGGTGTGCCAAAAACAGCCGCCGTTTTTTAGATGTTCGCGAAAAACCACAGGGAGGGTTCAAATATTCCCCCCACCCCCACCCCCAGCAGGGCGCGGGATAATATCCTTGGCATTCAGTAGGTACCATCGTATTTCCTGAATCTTCTACTTGCGATTGAATGGCAAAACTGCCTCCACCCTCCCGAGCTGCTATGTGCTTGTGTAGGAGGGCATCGAGGGCAGAGAAGTGTTGTCAGCGCGTCTTGTAGAATGTAGATTTCAGAATCTGCTCGGCTGGCTCCACTTCGTAGACGACGGAAGTTAGCAATACGTAAATTGTGCTACCTGTCCTGCGGCCGGCTCCAGCGCTTGATAATCTCTTCTGCAGATACTGGCTCCGCTCCTTCCACAACCAGCGCGTCCGCAATGTTGTTCCACAAATTCGCCCTTTTCACCGCTTCCTTATAATATTTATCTTTTTTATTATAAAGTCATGGATATTTTCCAACCAATGAAATTAATTTATAATTTGAAAAGGCCATGAGACATGTGAAATACAAAAACAGAAATGTAGCTATCACTCCGTTTGAGATGCAAATGTTTTGAAATAAAAATGAAACGCCGTCAAATTTACGCTTGAATTTTATATTCTCGTGAAAAATCGCGAGACTATTAGGGCACCGTTGGTTAAATTGGTCCTGTAGCGCTGAAACATAACATTATTTCCCTCGTGCCTTAATTTCATATCACAAACGGTGGCTATCCGGCAAGGCAAAAGTTGAGATGATTTCAACTTTTTGCCGGACCGGAAAATCTGGCTCTCCGGCCTGCCGGACCGGTCAAAAGAAGTTGCCAGATTTGCCGGTTCACACCAGTTTTCAATTTTCCGGCACGGAATTGGCCATTTTTCCGGCCCGGCAGACGGAATTTTGCCGGTCCGGAATCCGGTGTGAACCCGGCATTACATGATGCAACTAATGATGCCTACAAGAAGTTTGTATTAATTGACTTTTGGGTAACGGGTCCAACTGGTTCCGATTCCAACTAAGACCGGGTCCGACTGGTTCCAGAAATGTCCAGCCGGGTCTGGTTCGAGTCTGGTTCCCAAAATTTTCATCTTTTGCCACCTCTATTAGTTAGTCATGCTCTAATTAGTTGGAACTGAGTGTGGTCGGTTAAGTGGCTGCAGTATATGGGCGACATGCTGCTGACCTTCATAGCTCACGATAATGCTTCTGAGTTTGAGTTCGGTCATTTGCGGTGGTAGGTGACTAACGATTCCTATAGTCTGGCAAACCTATAAAAGAATAGAGTTTAATAGCTTGAATCACTTTGCGCTTTTTTGATCATTGCAAATTTGTGGTTCGGAGAAGACTTGCCTGGAAAGCTGTGGGAGAAATATCATCGGATATATTATGGAGATTGGAGGCAATACGGGGTGCTTCAAACAAGTGCCACGATTTGAACATCTCCCGTTTCCTAACTAACTATTAACTATATGACCTACATACACCATTAAATACTTCCAACTTTGTGCCAATATTATGACATTTTATGTGGCAGAATTACAAGTTCCTATATAGGCAGAATATTTTTAACACTGTACTTGCAACATTCGAGGTCCATCTTGCCACCTACCTACGGACTCCGGCGACTGTGGTGCCACCTGAGCAATGCATCCTAATTCACCTGCATGACAGGGTAGAATAGCGTAAAGCTATGCCTATCTATGCTATGGTGGTGGTAGCCTAGTGGCTAAGAAGCAGAGACCATTCAAAACAAAAATGAACTTACAGTTTGTGTGGTCATCGGGTGAGAAAAATCGCTGAAAGCTTATACCTACAAAAAAAAAAAAAACGCACTAAATGGGGCATTATAGGTAAAAGTACAAGGTCGTAGCTGGCGTACAAAGTCAAACGGCGTAAGACAATTTTCTTGCACCAAGCATTTCCGCGTTAGCCGCGTTAAATCCACTTTTTAGTAACTACATAAGTACCTTTACTGCATATAGGTACCTGTGCTTTTTATCAAACTGCAAAAACCTCCTTTTGAGAACTTTATTTGCACTTTGTGCTACCGAACGTTTTCAACTCTATCATCCCTTGATTCGTCACCCTTTCGTAGTTCGTGCTTGATTTACTTGAAGTTAATAGTTACAAAATAGTGTTTGATAGCCTTTCATAGTGTTGTGACTTTGGATATTATGGTTGAGCTGAATATCATGTTATCGAGGAAAAAGGATCCATCCTTCCACAATCCACAATTAACCTTCTTTGGCAATTTTCATATTACTTGTTCACTTTGGTCCTGAGCTGGAAGATATGGGAAATTTCCTTTCATACCTATCTGATCTGACAAAAGGAAAATATCCCGTTAAGTGTTTTGTTTTCCGTGACTTTGCATTATTGTAGGTAACTGTTTACCGTGTACAATAAGCAAACATTTTTTTCTTATAGTTGCAGCTCCAACTCTCCAATTGTTTCTGCATGTTCTCACGCGAGGGAGACCGTTTCATCGTGTTATTTATTACGCTTATCCTCACAGTGGCGACAACGGAGCACGTGATGCTTCCATTCATACGAAGACAAAATACAAGCTGGTGCCAAAAACAGAAGCAACTCAGACGCATCAATGACATTACAGGCATTCACAGGTATATCAATCAGCCTAAACGACATTGGTATGTACCTATATTCGATAAAGCTAACATTTATTTTCAAAAACGTATGTTGTGCTGACGACATACGTTTTCGAACGACATACGAAAATACGAAAATAGTGTTTGATAGCCTTTCGTAGTGTTGTATCTTTGGATTTTTTAAAAATATTTTTGTTGCCCGACCCGGGCTTTTGTCGTTAGTAGCACACATTCATACTGGGTTAGTACCAGCGTTACCGCTGGCGTCTCGCCGGTTTCCCCAGATTCTCACGAAAATTTCCCTATTTTAAAAATCATTTCCCTAGATACGGTTATTTTCATGGAATTTGACGTACTGTACTTGATCCTCATTCTAACCATTCGTGTTATAGTCGCTGCTTCCCAAAACAGCAATTTACTACATTCTGTGACGTTAACGTAAGAGATTCTAATGAAATTGCTGGCATACGAGGTGTGACCAAAAAGAAACGAGACTGTGTCCGCTGAGGACACGGTTCAGCACACACCGATTACCTATACCATAGTGATGCGGAGCATTTCAGCACCATATGAGCGAAGTTTCAATTATTCTGGCCCATTGTCCTTCTTTCCACGGTCGTTTCTCTAAACCCCTGCAATACCCCATGTCACAATATGGGTTCTGAACAGACGGGACAAACATCAAGTTCTCAGTGAAACTGGGGAAAACTGCTACAGAAACACTTCCGATGTCAAATTATGTGTATGGAGACGAAGCAATGTCTCCTGCACGAGTGTTCGAGTGGCACAAAAGGTTTGAGAGTGAACGAGATGATGTGGAGGATGACCCGGGTCCCGGAGCCATGACGCCCCACAACATCCAGAAATGAAGAAAACATCCACGAGCCTGACGCACAGCGATCGCAGATGGACAGTAAGGATGCTGGCTGAGGGGCTATGAATGGGAACAGAGTCGGTGAGTACCATCCTGACGGTGGATTTGGGCACGAGGAAGGATTCGCGTGAAGGGGGTGCCCAGTGTTCTCCAATGATCAAAAGGCTCGCTGTGTGGAAGTGACACGGTAGTCTTTGAGCAGCCGGAGGGCAGCCCACAGTGGAACCCAGAGTGAAACATCACCCGTCCTCGCCAGATTGAACACTATGTGACTTCTGGCTATCCCCGAACACCAAGGGCGTCCTCAAGGGATCACTTTTTGAAGAGATTGAGGACATGCAAGAGCACATGACACGGGGCACTGCAGGAGTTTAGAGAAACGACCGTGGAAGGAAGGACAATGGGCCAGAAAAATTGAAACTTCGCTCATATGGTGCTGAAATGCTCCGCATCACTATGGTATAGGTAATCGGTGTGTAGATATTGAACCGTGTCCCTAGCGGACACAGACTCGTTTCTTTTTGGTCACACGCAAATTATTGTACGTGGTATAATATAATTGAGTGGTATATCGCAAATTGTGGTGTGTTGCGACTCGAGACGCGGGATTCTCAGTGGCGCGGGAACCGGGGGGGGCTAGGGGGGCTGAGCCCCTCCAACTTTTCGGCTGGGGGGGCTCGTAATGTATTTGAGCCCCCCCAGCTGGAAAAATCGAAATCGGAAATCTACCAACACAATTTCATAGATTCATACATAGGCGCGGGAACCGGGGGAGAGGGCAGTGAGGGAAGCTTGCCCTCACAACTCTGGGGCCGTGGGAACGGTGCCTCACAACTTTTCATGAGGCCAGGAACCGTTGGGGCAGCTTGTCCTCCCCAAATTAGGGGTTGTGAGTCACAAAGGAAGAAAGCATGTGAGTGAAAAATCTACCTATTTTACTGACTCGGCAACTCATTTGGCAGCTTAAAACCTTTATTCCAGGTTGCCAAAACGGTAGTTTCTTCACTCAGCTGAGACGGAATACCTCACTTTTTTGCAAATATTTTCTTCTTTTTTTTCGTTGAAAAGGCCAAAGTCTGAAAAATAAGTGGCCTAAAACCGATGAGAAAACTAGATTTGGGGGTACCCTAGCTTGATCTCTATGATGGTTCAGCCCCCCCCCCCCCCCAGTCTGGAAGAAGTTCCCGCGCCACTGCGCGGGAAAGGAAGTGATATGCGCTAGACATTGTAAAAATCACGCCAAAACAAAAACTTTGATGTAAAAAATTAGCCGCACCCGAAATGGTACAAAGCAGCAGTTCGTTTTGAAATAATAGCAAGAATTATATATAACTACATGCATGCATATGTAATTCACTTTATATCTTTAAAACTAGAGCATCAAACGTTAATTTTGTGAAAAATGTTCTCATATTTTTTGATATGGCATGCGGAAGAATAATTTATGACAATAATGATTTCGATTGTTGAAAAAACAACAATTTTTCGGGTTTGTGGCATTTCCCTAGATTTCGTGTGAAATCCATATATCCCTAGATCTTCGCTGACTTCCATAGAAAAGGGAAATTTCCCTTGCAGCGGTAACCCTGGTTAGTACACTTTATACACGGCAGTGGTACACTCGGGGGCAGATTGATGTTCTACAACTCTTTATCCACCGGGTTCCTATGGCTCAGCATTGGCAGCAGCCGCCTGGTACCGGTAGACTGTGCCGCTTCACTAACTTGTCAAGCGGCACAGCCTACCCACACCGTATGCCACCGGTCTGGGTCGGTGGCTGGAAGGCGATGTGGGCCGCCTGTGACGTCAGCGCAGCGGTGAGGGCTGAGCCCGGAGGCATGGCTCGGGTCGGCGCGGCGTGGCGGCTGGCGAGGGCTGGGGAGTGAGGTGCAGGGTGGGAGCACGGACCATCGCGCGGCTGAGCGAGTGTAGCTAACTTTCGCGTCTCAAGGCGCTAATTATTCTAACTAACAATTGTGCTAAAGCAGTTGTTAAAATGTCCTATCCCCAAGACAGCGCCTATCATCATACTTGCCATGCACATTACGGCACACTTAAACGTAGCATTGGGACAGCCGATAAAATTTATATCACACGTGCATCGAGTTGCGGAGCTACATTGTTTTTTAACAGATAAGTATTAAGGCCTTGATTGAGCTATTTGGTGTCTATTATTTCGCACAGCAATCGTCCAGACACGTGGGAACTGGGGTTTTTGGATAGCGCGGCGTCCCAACTTTAAGCAACTCTTACTGTTCCTCTAATGTGTGGTCGCAGCCACCAATAGCCGTTCCATCTAAAAACAAATAAGTCACGCACCTGGGACGGTTCGAACCGGGTTTCTCCAACCGGTCACCCTACGACGCTAGCGTGTATCCACTGAGCTGCCGAAACCAGCGACCACGTGCCGCGGTCAAACGCGATCAAATGTCACAATACTGTC